ACAATCATCAATATCTACTTATTCAATCTGGCTGTGGCTGACTTGCTCTTCCTTATGACTGACTTTTTATATACATTGTTTACACCTAACGAGTACTACACACTTGCCCAAACAGCATATTTAAGTGGGCGGTCTACGTTCCTAGCAGTTTCTAATTTCTTTGTGGTTACCATAGCAGCTGAGAGATTCTCTGCAGTGCGCAATCATCTGACATTTAAAGAAAAAGTCTCTAAATCTCGAGCAGCAAAGATATCAGCAGGAATCTGGGTGCCGACAATTATTGTTGGTGTGATTCTAGTATTCTTACCAGAGACAGTCTTCAATGACATCCTCTTTTGGATTACTTTCCTTATCAGCATTGTCTGTTTAATAGCAAAAATGCTGTTCTTTTAGTCTGGTTGTCTGGCCCTGCTTCAGACCAAATGGAGTAATTTATAGACGTCGGGGAGTTGTCAAGTCAGGAAACCAGACTAGCTGGCATACACCCGTTCACGGATGTGTACCCGATTGCAAACAAAATGGACTAACTAAATTTGGTAAATTGGGGGCAGTATTTGAAAAAAGTTATTTTTCCAAATGCCGGTTAGCAGACTATCGTTGAAAATTGATACAAAAATGACACTTTTGGGCGAAGTTTTTTATGTGATGTAAATACAAATTATTTCTGTTCACTAAAGTGTTGCTAGTAAGTAGACTAAAAATGCAAATTTCTTAAGATGTTTCATAAGTTGGTCTTTCCAACTCGAACAAACATTTAACTTGAACAAACATTTTGGCAGGGTTATTCCATCAAATAAGATCATCATTACAATACAGAAACAGTAAGATATGCTGCAAAAATTCAAACTACTCGGCATTTTTGTACAGGGACACTGACCTGACACTGAAGGATAAGAGAAGAAAACACCGAAACGATCTTGCTTGTTTTCATATTCGTTTACATTTTCTTGTTAAAAAAGTAAAAATTTTATGAATGAAACTAAAATCAAAACCCTATGAAAACATTTCTCATACACCAATGTCAATTGTGAAACTCTGTTGTATGATTTTATAACAGTGCTGTGAAAACAATGGAAACAAAAGTTACATTTAGTAGCTCAGGCCAAATGAATAAGTTTCTCGTCCCGAATTTTTGAGAAAAACATAAAGAGGCGGCCCATTTTTCCACTCAAGATGGTAGATTTCTAAGATGGCGGATGGATTCCTCCATTTTCTCAACTCTTCTGTTCATACTTCTGTGTCCAAAGGAGCCATCACACTTTCTACAAGATTTTAAACTTGCAAATACATAGCTTCAATTTTGCTGGACACATACAGGGTGATTATAAGATGGAATTTTGCGTCGGGGTGATATAAATCAATTTAGGTTTTGCCCTTCACCGACGTTTAAACACTGTAAAGACCGCTTGCAGACGCGATCGATAATTGACGCGCAAAGGTGTGCGACGCCATGTTTTGGGACAAAATGTGCATGGATAGATATACGCTTGTCCCACAAGATGGCGTCGCGCGCCTTCCCGCGTCGATTATCGAACGCATCTGCAAGCGGTCTATACTCAGTGTGTTACCTCCCGAGTGAAAGTTGGAAAAAAATCACTCGGATGGGACTCGAACCCAAGACCTCAGGCTTTCTACTGCAGATGTCTTACCACTCAACCACCGAGCTAACGGGATCAGTTGGCTGGTTCGAATCTGATGTACATAGCAGCGGGTACCGCATGAACTATTATAAGATGGAATTTTGCATCGGGGTGATATTAATCAAATTAGGTTTTGCCCTTCACCTTTTTTTGGGGGGGGGGGGGAGGACGAAACAGGTTTTAGGGTCATTGCGCTTAAATGCTGATATTCTTTGAACTGATTGAGCAATTTCAGTATTTTTTTCATCTTAAAGTAGTTTTTCAAATTGGCTTTCCAGTCATTATTATTTTTGGTGCTACATATTTTGTTAAATATGAAATATATTTGTGGGGGTTTGGGTTCCGCTTTTTTTACTCATCCTGTATAACAAGACAAAATATATTGTACATGTATGATTTAAAAAATGAAGAAAGGAGGTGGGCGGGGAAAAGGAAGCAGACAGGGACAAGAAACATGTTCATTTTTTACTTGATCTTATAGAAACAAGGAAAGGAAAAATAAGAAGGAAACTTGAAGAAGCTTTTAGTTTCAACTCCAGATTTCTGATTTCTTGTTAGTATAAAACTGCAGTATAAAACTGGAGTGATCTTGTGATAGGGAAGACCACTCTTTGTTGCACCTGAGCACAATGTTAGACATGGAAATCAATGCTACAATGAACATGAACTATGGGTGATGGCTACCAAGACAGCTCCTCTTCATTGATTGGGAGGCTCCGGAGGGACTTTCTAGACAGTTATGATCAAACTGAACAAAAACAGTACCTCAGCACGAAAATCGTTGCACCAATCAGCCTTTTCTTGAACTTTGTCTATCTCTTCACAGTTATTAGAGTGAAGTCCATGCGTACAATCATCAACATCTACTTATCCAATCTGGCTGTGGCTGACTTGCTCTTCCTTATGACTGACTTTATGTTTGAATTGATTTCACCTGTAGAGTACAACCCATTAGGCCAAACAGCTGTCCAAAGTGTGCGGTACACGTTCTTAGCAGCTTCTAATTTCTTCGTGGTTACCATAGCAGCTGAGAGATTCTCTGCAGTGCGCAATCCTCTGACATTTAAAGAAAAGGCCTCTAAATCTCGAGCAGCAAAGATATCAGCAGGAATCTGGGTGCCAACAATTATTGTTGGTGTGATTCTGGTATTTATACCAGAGCCTGTCTCCTCTAATGTCCTCCTTTTGATTAATTTTCTTATCAACATTGTCTGTTTAATAGTTACTCTTGTTTTGTACATCTATGTTGTGGTGAAAGTTCGCAAGCAGTCAGCCCTGTTGCCGAACCGTCCCAAGCAAGCAGGCAAGGTCCTCTGTATGGTTACAACCAATACTGCTGTTTTCTTCATTCTGAACTCGTTGGACATTGCAGATACAGTCATGACAATCAAATTAGTGTATTTTTCTGGGTCTGCCAAGCCTATTGATTGAGCTTCGCGTGATTCCAAAGGCAGAAAATGACCAAGAGCACCGTGCTGCCAGGCCAAGCAGCAGCAAGCCACCAAGCCAAGGGCATACACAACACAGAGAGAGTCAGCAGTCACTGGACAGCTGCCAAGAACAATGTTCCAGGCAAAGCAGCAGCAAGGCATCCATGCACAGTCAGCAGCATGTTCAAGTGCACGTTGAGGTACATGCAGAACCAGCGGAGACCCCAGCGCTTGCAAGTTCTCATCAGGAACAATGCTCTAGTCTGACGGACTGCAAGCCATCCATGCAAGGGGAACAGTGTGTACATCCAGAACCAGCAGAGAGCCAGCAGTCACTTGCAAGTGCTCAGGAACAATGTCCTGGGCTGACGGGCACCGAGCCATCAGCACAAGGGCAGCAGTATGCACATCAAGAGTCAATTGTTTGAAAGGTGTCAAGAACAATGTTCTCTGGTAACTGATGAATGCAAGCCATCCATGCAAGGGAACCAAGTGGAAACTGACTGATGGACACGAACAGTGTTAAAGCTGCAACCTGACAGTCTGAAAACCTGTTTACACATGTACATATAGATCACGCAAATAGGAGTGCCAAGTAAATTTGATGTGAAGAAACTAAAACAAGAAATTTGCTTTGGAAAGGAACGGTGAGAACTAATAATTTAGTGATAGCATATGCGTACTGGTATTTGATGGGATGAAAGATTAACCCTAACAGAACTCAACCCATCAAACCCCATTCATTTGTTGGAATCTGTCAGGATGGGTACAGTACCCCTAAACTGACAGACTTTTACATTGGGTTGGCAAACCTCCAGAAACAAAGTCAGAAATGTGTGTGTGCAGTTTCCAACACGGTGCTGGAATTTGCCAGGATGGGTATGGTTCCTAGTAGATCAAGCTAGGGAGTTAGGGTTAAAAAGAACTCTTCATGACAATTATAACAGAATTTGATAACAGAAATGAGGTTTTGGTTTGTCCTTATACTGTACTATTATACTGTTTACATATACAGTGCATACTGTGATTACCTTTTGGTGAGAAAACCAGCAAAGGTAGTTACATGTGTCCATGTAACCCTTCCATTGTAAATATTTACTTTAAAGAGACGAAAAACACCTTGCCGTAATTCCTGTCACACATACATTGTAAATACATGTATTCTGCTATTAAAAAAGTTGCATCAAATTATGTGCGCACTTGGATTACCATACCACCTGTGCAAGTCTGAAAAAATGTTGCACAAACCTGATCTCAAACCGAAACTGACCCAACTTGACACTGACTTTGGGTCGGGTCGGATCAGGTCGATTTTGCCATCATTTCAGTTGGGTCAGGTCGGTTTCAGTTTTGCGTTTGGATATTCGGGTTGGGTCAATTCAGTTAAGCATTTTTGCGAAATATGCTGTTCTTGTAGTCTGGTTGTCTGACCCTAATTCAGACCATATGGAGTAATTTTTAGACGTTGGGGGGTTGTCAGGTCAAGGAACAAGTGTCACATGCCTACAATTGGTCCCTGGGTCATTCGAATAGCACGCAGGCTCCCATGCATACAAGCACTATGCGATCCATATTTCCTGGGATTTGTTTCGGTAGTGCGATATTGTCATGTCACAAATTTCCACACGCGTAACCAAAAAATGGGTATCAAAATGTAGCTAACAACATTCCCCCACGGTCTACCTACATGACGTTATCATAAGAAGATCAGATTTCAAAAATTATGACCCCTCCAATGAAAGTGGACTTCCTTTTTTTTTGCGGTGTTTACATTAGGGCTATTTCCTGTGACCCGGACATTCCAAGTAAGGTCAATAAACCTAACTGACTTTTTTGATATAGTCTGGCTGAAATTCCACCATTTAACTGGCAGATGGAAATATTTGAGCAATTAAAAATTATTTAAACGAAAGAGTCACCAATATCCTACCTAGCTCCTCAGAGATGCCTTTCTTCTGGTCATGGGGTAGCTCCGCCCACTTGGCTGGCAAACTCTTGAGACGTCTCACTCGCCTCCGGGGAGTCTTGCAGAATGGCATTGGACATCTAAACAAAAAGGGGATAATATTTTATTATGATAAGACACTGATATTCATATAGTGTCATAACCCTAATAATCCTTGGAATCCTTAAATTTTGATAAGATTTTCCCCACACCCTAGAGAGTTAGGGGTAACCAGTTCGCGCCGGGATTATTTTGAGATTGAATGGATTGTGTTTTTTTTTTTCAGAACCTCGATGCCAGATGGGTTTCGGCGGTCATCTGCGGGTACACACCCTGACATTTATGGCCTCGCTCGCTGCGAGAGGGTTGCTGACAGATATTTCCGGCCTTGCTTGTTGCGTGTTTATCCGTCATCCGTTCAAAATGCCGCAAAACTTTTGCAAATACAAATGAATGTGCAGTATTAAAATGTTAAAAATCTTGACTGCAAGACATTGTTCCCAGTGAATATGTTTACAGTTCACCATCAGTGAAAGAGTTCTGTAGCTGAATACTAGCAGCACACTCCACGGCCGGTCGGCTGAAAAACAGGTAATGTGAAGAATGTCTCTCCAATCTGTCTCAGACGACGGTGCCAAACTGTGGGGAAGATGTGTGTAGCTACATGTAAAAATACTCTCACTTCAGACGAACATCTGGGCAGCTGTCCGGAGACTAGATGATGTAAAACGCACTGCTGCAGCAAACCACCCTTCAGATCAAAGATGCTTCTCTCCAGAAGGTTGTCATTGAAGATAATGATGATGATGATGATGATGATAATAATGACTGTCGTTTATATTTGATCAAAGTGTCACAAATTAAGATGTCTTTTATGACATCCTGCCGACTACGCCATATTTGTAACCGAGCTGGAAAGGTTACGCAGAAAATTTGAAAGTGACACTGGGTATATATTCCACTATAAACTGATCAAAATTTTATTACTACAAAAAACAAAAAACTACAAAAAAAACGACAGTCATTCTTCAGCAGTCTGTAATAACAGAAAACAGAAGAATAGAAATTAATTTATTTACAAATATACAATGACTATGAATCCAATATTCAATTATTTAATTATTTGAAATAACCATCTCTCCTTAGCCTTGGTTATATCTTATCTTGAGAAATTGCTTTACTGGTTCTATAAACCTCAATTTCCATTGATTTGTTCCATAGAAATGTTTTTGCTGCCAATTTACAAGTACATTTCTTACGAGAGGCATAAAAGTATTAAAGGCATAAAAATTTAATCAAGGAGAAATAATCTCCATAAGCACTTGCTATGCAATAATTTTACAACACATTAATCTCCAAATCTCCAATTTCTTAGGCACATTTCAAGCAATAATGTTTTATACACGTACCCAAATATTATGGATGCTGGATAAGGGATACACTGGTCTACTCGAGAAGGCTTCTCTATTTGTGACCATCAGGAACCACAGAACCACAAGCAGTAGCTGTAATAAAATTACTGTACATATTAAGTAATCTCATAAATATTAATAAATGTTTCGATGAAGGAATATTAAATAATCATCAGTGCCATCAAAATGTCTCATGTGTTTCATTTCAGGCTAGAACATTCTCTTATTTCTCTTTCCATACACGCTATCCAAATTTGAGTTCAATAAAGTGAATTGACCCTATAATTCAACATATTTAGGATCGAAGTATGTGCAAGTACACAGTCAATATTACAAGGTTCGGTATCGAAAATTCAAGTCATATTATGCACAATTTTCATATAGACTTGGCTTCCAACCTGGGATATTTATTTTATAGCATAAAAATGTTTCATACAGACTTGGCTTCCAACCTTGAGTATTCATGGCATAAAAATGTGTCGTAAAGTGCTATTTAAGATAACATCAAAATTTATGAAGTTGAAACACTTACCGGAGCAGTTGTGGCCTGTGTACCTATGCCTCGGGATGTTTGGGCAAACTACACGATATGCATGTACACGATATGTGTATGCACATGCGGCGTGCTAACCATGGCAAAACCACGTGAGAAACAGCAAAATATAGACAAGCTGGCTCGCAATAAGGTGTGGCTGGCAGCAGCAACGACAAGCAGTCAAGTGACCTACCCATGCTTGCTTACTTGCCAAAAAACTAGTGAAAAATTCACGGAATGTGCGTCCGAAGCCCTATGCTTTTGAGACACTGCACGGAATAAAAGGCTTTTTCGCACTGCATGTCATATGCAAATTGTTACGCAACTATGTATGCTCTATTCAACGGAAAACACAAGAGGGCGCTCGCATGCTCCGACAACTTTCGCATCGCTGTTTATGCTAAAAATATCAGACATCGACAAAGAAATATTTTACAGACGGGACCTGGCAGCATAATTACAGGAATTTAAGTCTGGCCGGTCACACTTGGGTCTCTTGGTGAAACCTTTATTAAAAAGAAATATTGTGATTAAAACATGTGTATATAATGGAGAAATATAGCTGCAGTATACCAGTGCATCTCAACAAGCCACTGAAATGTCACTTCTGTTGGTATACCGTGGCAGTGAAAATGTCGAGCAAAAGGCACTTTTTAAAGGAAACATGCAGTAGAAATTCAGCCTATCTTGTTTTTATGCACGTTATTACGTGTTGCAAAAATACATACAAGAAGTTAATACTTGTGTTCATCGAAAGTGACAAGAAAATGTAGCAAATCCTCTCATCAATACATGTAAGAGGGGGCTATTTTGCTTTTGTCACAAAGGTACTCCTTGGCAAAAGTGCATAATTATGAACAGTACACAAATCAGTCCTTCAAAATTACCCACAAAAAAAAAGTTTTTAAGAAATATAGGCCACTATTGTCTAAGCAAGCTGTTTAACATGATAACTTCCGGTTTGATGATGTCACAGTATTTGGCAGCAATAAGTGAACATTGTAATGGATATCGTAACTTGGTACGAAGATATACGACATGAATCGAATGTCAGAATATGGTTGTTTTCAAATTATCACAGGGGTAACTTCTGGTCTGATGACGTCATGAATTTGAAACCTTGCCAAGTTATTTTTGGTTAATCAAAGAACATCAAGGACCGATTTGGTAAAATTTGAACGGATGGTTTTCAAATTAGAAAGAGTAAACACTGTGTTATGTGCCACTAGGGGGCGCCCTTTCGAAAGATGACGTCATCCCACTTTTTTTTGTCTGGCAGTCCTCACTAAACACTATCATAAGTAAATTCACCCAAAATTGACCTTCCGGTAGACCCGGAAGTAAAGGTCAAACGAGTTCACGTACACAACAAAAAATAACGAAATACAAACATCATTGATTATTTTGTTCAAGAGTTATAGGTTAAAGTAATTGATCACTTTTTCAGCTAAAATCACTAGTAATTTGATACCCGATGACGTCATCATGACATCAGAGTAATATGCACCACTAGGGATGAGGGTCGATATATATTGAAATTTACAAGTTCATATCATGAACCGTTTTGGAGAAAAGCCGCGGAGAAGTATTGTCCGGAAAAAAAGAAAGATTTATCAGAACAAAAACAGAGAGTGGTTGGGTTGTGCCCGACCACTCAAAAAGTGGAACTTACTCACAGAAAACAAAGGAAAGTTTGACATGCTCTCCAATGTTAAGCTCTTTAAAGATATGCTTTATTAGTGTATCAAATTTGCTTTTTAAGAAAAGTATCTCTCATCCGGGCCACTTTCTTTAACACATATACCATGTACAAATGGAATTGAATTTAACATAGGAAGAAAGCATGTTCAAATTGACATCGGGATATTGAAACCTACAAAAAGTTGTTTTGCAGTTTGCCAAGACCGGGGCAAATTGTTTAGCCTGGGGACTTATTGAGTGGTCGGGCACAACCCGACCACTGTCTGGATTTGTTCTCAATTAAATCTTCTTTCTTTCCTTTTTTTTTCCCGGACAATACTTCTCCGTGGGTTTTCTCCAAAACGGTATATGGAATGAACTTGTAACTTTTAATATATATCGGCCCTCAACCGAAGTGGTGCATATTACTCTGACGTCATGATTACGTCATCAGGTGTCAAATTACGAGGGATTTTATCTGAAAAAGTGATCAATTACTTTCACCTATAACTCTTGAACTCAATAATCAATGATGATGGTATTCTGTAATGAGATAGACCATTAACTGTTAAACATTTTTGGTATGTAAACTGGCTTGACCTTTACTTCCGGGTGTACCGGAAGGTCAAAGTTAGGTGAATTCAAAATGAAGACATTAGCCTGAAATCAAAACAAAGCACAATTTTTTCCAAACGGTTTACGGTATGATCACAAAACCTTGTGTGAACTTGTACCAAACTAGTTATGTCTGGTGCTTGAATTTAGTAGAATTTGAATATGCTCTCCTCCTTTTTTTAAAATTCAAATCCATTTGTACGGTATGTGATCAAGAAAGTGGTCCGGATTCAAAAAGTTCAAGAAATTGAATTCTTCGACGCTAAAAGCAAAGTGAATATGCAAACTTACCAGTTCTCCATTGGCAGTTGGATCCCTTAGCACTGGCATAGCTGCAACACACAGGGTGCACTTCCAAGCGAATTGGTCTTCGCTTTTCATTGCGTCTCTGTAAAACGCCAAGGTGATACCTGCCAAGAGAGAAAAAAATCATAATGTGCCTTGTTATGTTATATATTTGGCACCTTGAATGGCCTTTTTATCTTATCTAATACTTGTATTCTTCATTTCGGCCAGTAACAGGGAATGAATGTATACCCCACTGAATCAAGTAATTAACAAGGTTATTGGTAATGTGAAAATAATGTGAAAACAACAACAATAGAACACTTTTTCAAGGGTCAAAGTACTTTTTGTGTACAAATTGCATGCAGAAAAGTTCATCCCCCCTCAAAAAAACATTTCCACCCCAAATTTAATGTGAAAAGCAAGGGGAGAGGTTGCAAAATGTACATGCATTGCTTTTTGGCGATGTAACCTGCCCCACACAATGGCCCCTGTTGGCAGACAAATATAACCATCTTAAATATTGCGGGGAAAGTGATTAAAATGACCATTATTACATCATTAACA